TTGAAATATATGTATGCAAAAAAATTGCGTATTTAGCTTTTCTCTCTGACGTCAGGACTTTTTAAAAGGACTTTGAAAATTGAATAGTTAATATGAGTAATTCACAAAATGGTTTAAAAAGTTTAGTGCAGTGTACTTAGGAAAACAGCACTGGGTATCAAATTAAAGAGAAAATTCTGTAGAGAAAGAACATATACATTTTTTGATGTATACGGTGTGAAGAGGTGGTTGGTGTCGTGGGGGGAGTCTCTACATGCCGGGCACTGATTTGGGATGTTTGGGTCGAGTCTGGACAGGTAGCTATTTAGGCGGCTACAATATCCAGACCGTAACTGAGCCAGGGTAACGCGGGTCTCTCTAGGTAGTTGAAGCTCCGTCTCTTCCACAGGTGGTGATTGGGCTCCGATAACGACATTCCTAGGCCGGGAGTCGAGGTAGGTGGAGACAGACTCCCTATGAATGTCGTTAATCGCTCGTCTGTACGTCATTGGGTCCAGTGGTTGGTCTGTGTGGGTCTGGACTGCGTCCTTGTACACGAATAGGTGCCCCCTGACGTGCCTGGGCGGAGGCTCCTCCTCCAGCAGTGGTCTGTTGGGGTGTTCACTTCTGTGACACCCCACAAGAAACTGCTTACAGACAACGTCTTCGAATATATGTAGTTGTTCTAACTTTATTAGCTTAAAAAAATTGAATTGATTAAAAGGGCATTTCAATACCTGTTCGTCCTGGTGAACCCAAAAAATTTTAATTTTTTTTAAATCCTACAGAATTTTCTCTTTCATTTGGTACCCATTTTTGTTCTACGTTGCACTGAATTTTTTAAATAATTTTTTAGAATTTATCATATCTTTGAAATTATAAAGTTCTAATAAAAAAAATTCTAAAACTTAAAACGCAGGTTTACTATATTTGGTCCATAGTGTTGTGAGTATATTGATTTCTTGGTGTGTTTTGAATTTTCCAACCTGTTTCAATATTTTTACTCAGAATTTTTAGAAATATTTTAGGAACGCAATTTTATAAGTATAGCCCATTAAATTACAGGAGGATAAAGTGCAAGTTTCAAGTGACTAAAAGTAACGTTGATTTTTTATAATTTTTTTGCTGGCGGTTGTCACTCATTTTCTTCCATACAAAGTATATGCGATAATTTGCAAGGAAACCCAAACCGAAACCGTAACCGTTTAAAACCGTTTCGTTTTTCAAAACCGAAACCGAAACCGTAACCGTTATCTTGACCTGAGAAGGAACGATACCGAAACCATTTCAATCACAGGTTTCAATCGGTTTCCAGAAATTTACAAAAATAATAAATAAAAATTTCTTTGAAATAAATGATTTATTTAACCAAAATCAGCAACATTTTGCTACTGGTCAACATAAGGCATTCTATTATAGCCACCATTGCAAATTACAAATCCCGAAAATCCCGGGATTCTTGGAAAATAGTCCCGGAATTTTCGGGACTTGAAAAAGTCCGGGATCCCGTGATTCCGAGATTAACATCCCTATTATGTATGAATGTATGCATGCCTTAATTGATTTTTATAATAAATCTTGTGAATCCAATTCAAATTCTGCTTGCCTCAATGTGTACTCATTTCTTTCAACGCGTTGTAGTCATTTATAATGTATGTAAGTACATACATACATACATACAAACAAATTAGTTTTTATTTCCCAGTAGCGAAAATGGTCACCGGTGACATCGTCACTAATGAGGATTTAGTGACATCGTCGCACTTGCTGTGAATCCTAAACGACATATAGCTGACAATGACACTGGTGTGTACTCCTAGCAAAGACTTATAACAGACAATGTCTTGCAGCGGTCACTTATAAAAAGTTCATTGCAGGACATTGTCGCTTGAATGTCATCAAAGTCATGCAGATGACATCAACGACGAAATTACCATTTATATGAAAAAGTCATGAACGACTTCCATACAAACGGAGCCCAAAGTCATTTAAGCCGGAACTTTTCCGTACAAGACTCTTAAGTGACTAATGCGAGACATTCGCTACGGGAAATTTTCCCTACAAGACTCTTAATTGTGTGTAGCAAGAGCACAAGCAAAATCGCTTAATTGAACGTCAATTGCGGCTCATAAAGATACAATAGCTCGAGTAAAAACTAAAAAAAAAACTTAAAAACAAAATACAAATAATGCGAAACGTACCCTGTTTATAGAGTAATCCCTGAAACTCAATTGGATCTGGTAGCAATGATCGATTCTTTGGAGAATTACCGGCTGTATGAGATTCTTCATTTTTCCAACTTAATTTCACAGTACCGCTACACACATACATATGTATGTACATACATATATACATTTGTACATACGAAGTGAAAAATTCGTTCGTTGTCGTTTTTGAATATCCAACTTGAACTGCTTTTTTATTCTCATATTTTTTATCAATGAACAATATTTGCATTCTCGATAAATTTTCGATTTCTGCTGCACATGATGCCTTTTGCGCTACCTACATACATATATAATATCTACATAAATTTAAATAGATATGTATGTATGTACTCTCATGGACATGGGCTAAAGGGGGCGCAATATAAATTCCGTTGTAGGGCTTGGTACAACTCAATTGTTACAATAACAAGTAATTTTTAAACAAAAAACACAGTCGACTTCAATTCTCATATAAAAAATTTAGAAATACCGTTAATTTCTTCATGATCCAATGATCGAATCTAAACCAAATTAGTATGGGACCTCCCCAGAAAAAGAATTATCGAAGTCGGTTAATGTGGCCCAAAGTTTTGCGGTAACATACATAAAAAATATATTCCGATGAATTTATAACCTCCTCCTTTTTTGAAGTCGGTTAAAAAGAGAAAGATTAATGAGGTAAATTATTATAAATTCTTAATAGCTATATCTTAACATTTCCAATAAAATTTACATTAAAAAATCTCACCATAAAACTTAATTACATTGCTGATATTTTTAAAGAAAAATATATATGTAAAAGCAATTTGGACGAGTAAAAAAGCAGTACAAAATTGTTTTCTTGGCGTTCATTTTGGCATACCTTTTGCGTCTGGCGCTTTGCTGGCAAAGTTATAAATGTCACGCAAAGCCACAAAGTTGTATCGGACATCAACAACAGCCGAAGCAGCTCTAACCCAGCAAGCGAAAACGAATACGAATACGTTCACGAAAGTAATGACGGAGATGAATACGAATGTCAAGACGAAGACTAACAGCCGGTCTCACCAGCAATTTAAATAGAAAATTATTTTTTTTTTTTTTCTGTCAATTTCCATATAAAATTCAAAGGATTATAATAATTTTTCACTCAAAAAATTGCTTTCAGGAAATTGGCTGTAAGACTAAGGAGAGTTTTTATGTTTTCGCAATTTTTTTTACGGTTTCAAAATTGGTTGAAAAATGCTTCAGTCTTGGGCAATTTGTCTGACTAACTAAGAGTTAAAAAAAAACACACACATTGTTTTAACTGTAATGCACTCTGAGTCACACCATACAACCACCAGTATTGAATTGCGTCGTTATAAGCATATCTCAGATCAACTACGGCCCACCCGCTCCCAAAAAAAAACTTTGCAGTAACATATGTCCTAGTTTCTGCCTAGCGTTAATTGAACTAACTCGCCCAATAGTCGTCCATATGTCGCAAAAAGTACTCCCACATCCTCTCCATCCACAGCTCATCTGCCACGCAGTTCCCTGTATAAATATTTCTAACAAGAAAATACTCAGACGCGACCGGAAGAGAGGTCAGATAGGTTTAAGCGCACCGTAAGCGAGCTCAGAAGTGTCTGATTGTCGCTTGACTGTCAGAGTAGATATTTACCGCTTTTACCGGGTACGCTACTAAGCTTCTCATATCCCCAAGTACCTTTTATAGGTGGCATACACCGTGCGTCTGACTCGTGAGTCGGTTTGGACGTGTTAGTGAAAATAAATATGTGTTAGTTACACCGACATGACTCTGGCATGACACTGAGTGACTCAACTGTGTGTAGTCAGACGCACCGTCTATGATGCCTATTAAAAAGTTTTTATTTCATACATATTCCTATTTACAATTTTCAANTCAGACGCACCGCCTATTAAAAAGTTTTTATTTCATACATATTCCTATTTACAATTTTCAATACCACAAATAATCCTAATTTACTTTTCTGTTATTTCTACAGGGATACAAGTACAGCCAAACCTCAGTTTATAGACAAGTTGGTTGATGATCGGAGTGAATCTAGTTTATCGTATTATGAATTTTTGCAGCATGTACGGACTCAGGTTAAATAGTATTTTGTAAGTGGAAATTAAGCGTATTAATTGATTACAATATACAATAATTTAAAGGAAATAAGCCACAAATAAAAAGGGTAACCTACAAAAAAATTACTATATATTATCTTACTTATATGTGACAGCGTATGAATGTAATCACTTACTTATGGAAAAACAATAAATTCGCTAAACAATTAAGCACCACATGGACTATGTGGTTGATTGATTGATATACGAAAAGGAATTTACATATATGTATAAGTACGGAAATACGCATACGAAAATAAAAATAAATAATAGTTATTAAAATGCAAATGAAATAATATATAAATATGTACATGTACACTTACTTGCACGCGCATGGATGTGTACTTAACTAAGAAAGCGAAGTAGTAAGAAAAATATTTAGATATTAAGCGAATAAATCTGTAGCATCGGATTTGAATAGCGTGCTTTGGGCAATTAAAGGCTGCAATTAAAAAAAAAAAA